AATATTCTCAATCACACACAGAGCATTCTGTTTGGACGCATAACAAGTCTTAATACATTTAAGGAGACTGAAATCATACAGTATATATTTTCTGACCAAAATGGAATGAAACTAGAAATCAGAAGCAGAAGTAAAACTGTAAATCCAAAAAATGTGGACATTAAACCCACTCAAACATATTCTTGCTCAAGGATCAGATAATTTCATTTTGTTAAGATGTCAACATGCACAGCCACATACAAATTCAATGTAATATCAGAATCTTCATGGTACTTTTTTTTTGCAGAAATATATTTAAGTTTCTCAAATTCTTTTAGGAGCTATAACTAGCAAAACACCCTTTAAAAAGAATAACAAAGAGGTATTGCACTTCCTGGTTTTATAACACATTACCCAAAGCTATAAAGATACAAATAATGTGGTATTAGCACAAAGAAAAATAAATGGATGATAAAACAAAATAGAGAGCTCAAAATTAAGCACGTGTGTTCGTAATCAATGACTTTATATAAGATTGCTATGGCCACACAATGGGGAAGAAAATAGTTTTTTTAACAGATGATGTTGAAAACTGAGTATTTACATGAAAAAAATAAGTTGAGCCCTTCCGTTACATGCACCATATAAAAACAGTATTTAAAATGGATGAAATACTTGAACATAAAAATATAACAAACTTCCTAGATAAATATATGGGGGAAAATATGACATTGGACTTGGCATTAATTTCTCATTACAAAAGACCAAGAATTTGATGTCATTTTCTTAGATATGAAATCAAATGCATAAGGAAAAAATAATAGAGAAATGGGACTACATCAAACTTCAAAATTTCTGCACATCAAAGGAAAAATTTAGTGGGGTGAAAATGCTGCCTAAGAAATGGGTGAAATATTTGAAAATCACATATTTGATAGGAGTTAATTTTCACAATATATAAACAATGTCTAAAACTCAACAATAAAAAGTGAGTAGCTTAAGAAATGGACAAATAATTGAACTGGCATCTCTCCAAAGAAGATACATAAATGGCTTATAAGCATTTGAAAGGATGCTCAAGATTACTAACTTTTAGACCAATGCAAAGTACAAATCACAGTAAAATATTACCTCAAACCCATTAGGAGAGCCATTAAGAAATGTAACCACCCCCCCAAAAAAAATTGTTATGGATATGGAAAATTGAGAGGCCTTTTGAACCACTGGTAGGCAAAAATGATGCAGCTACTGTAAAAAACATACTATGAAGGTTTCTCAAAAAATTAAAAATAGAGTTACTATATAATCCAGCAAACATGGAAAATCCTATTTGATACTGTTCTTGGCAGTTATTTTTTGGGGTATGACACCCAAAGCACAGAAACAAAAGCAAACATAAATAAGTGGGACTGCATCAAACTGAAATTTTTCTGCACAGCAAAGAAAATAAAACAAGGAAACTTACAGGATGAAAAAAAATATTTGCAAGCCATGCATCTGATAAGAAGTTAATATCCAGAATATATAAGGAATTCACACAAATCAAAGGCAAAGACAATAAGAAGAATGATAATAAGAACTAAATTGAAAAACAGACTGAATGGATAGGTATTTTTCCAGTGAAGACAAAGAGCGAACAGGTATGAGAAAAGGACCTCAACATCACCAGTCATCAGGCAGGTGCAAACCAAAATGATGATAAAATATCACTTCACATTTGTTAGGATGGCTATTATCAAGTGACACGTATATTTTTTGGGTGATGGATACCCTAAAAGCACTGACTTCACCACCATGCAATCTATCTGTGTAACAAGGTTGCACTCATATCCCACAAATTTATACAAAAAGAATAGGGCTGGGTATGGTGGCTCATGCCTGTAATCCCAGCATTTTGGGAATCTGAGGTAAGAGGACTGCTTGAGCAAAGGAGTTCAAGGCCAGCCCTGGCAACACAGTGAGACCCCTTCTCTGTCAAAAAAAAAAAAAAAAGAAATTTTAAGCATAAAAACATTTTTAAAAAGAGATAACAAGTGTTGACAAGTGTGTGATGAAAACAATCTTGTACATTGTTGGTGTGTTGTAAATTGGTAGAGTCATTATGAGAACCAGTATGGACATTCTTTAAAAAATAAAATTAGGCCAAGCACGGTGGCTCACACCTGTAATACTAGCACTTTGGGAGGCTGAAGTGGGTGGATCACGAGGTCAGGAGTTTGAGACCAGCCTGGCCAACATGGTGAAACCCTGTCTCTACTAAAAATACAAAAATTAGCTGGGCGTGGTGACAGGCGCCTGTAATCCAAGCTACTCAGGAAGCTGAGGCAGCAGAATCGTTTGAACCCGGGAGGCGGAGGTTGCAATGAGCTGAGATCGTGCCACTGCACTCCAGCCTGGGTGACAGGGTGAGACTTGATCTCAAAAATAAATAATATTTTTATATTTATATTATATTTATATTATTTATAAATTTTATATATTAATAAATAATTTATTTATATTATTTATAAAATAAATAAATTAAATTAAAAAAAATTCCACATAATCCAGCAATCCCACTTCTGTGTATGTAACCAAAGGAAATAAAATCACTATTTCTAATATTTGCATCTCCATGTTCATTTCACAATTGCCAAGACATGAAAACAAGAAAACATGAAGACATGTTTGTGGACACTGACTGGATAAAGAAAATATGGCATATATACACAATACAGTATTATTCAGCCATAAAAAATCATGAAATGCTGCCAACATTTCAACGACATGGATGGACCTGGAAGACATTATACTAAGTGAAATAAGCCAGACACAGAAAGAAAAATAATGCACGGTCTCACCTCTATGTGTAATCTACAAAGGATAAACCCATAGACACAGAGAGTACAAAGCTGGCTGACCCAGTCTAGAAGTAGGGAAAATGGGAAGATGTTCAATGAGTGCATACTGCCAGTCATGAAATGAATAAGTTTTGAGGATCTAATGCATAGCATCATGGCTATAACTAAATCGTAATGCTCTATATTAGGGTACCCAGTCTTTTGGCTTCCCTGGGCCACACTGGAAGAAGAATTGTCCTGGGCCACGCATAAAATACACTAACGCTAATCATAGCTGATTAGCTTTCAAAAATCTCATGTTTTAAGAAAAATTTGTGTTTGGCCACATTCAAAGCCATCCTGGGCTGCATGCAGCCAGCAGGACACAAGTTGGACGAACGTGCTCCATATGCTTACATTTTAATAAGACAGCAAACCTTCAGTGTTCTCACTACAAAAGAAAACGCTGCATGGTGGCTCATGCCTGTAATTCCAGCACTTTGGGAGGCCAAGGAGGGTGGGTCACATGAGGCCAGGAGTTTGAGACCAGCCTGTAATTCCAGCTACTTGGGAGGCTGAGGCACAAGAATCACTTGAACCTGGGAGGCAGAGGTTGCAGTGAGCCAAGATCCTGCCACTGCACTCCAGTCTGTGTGACAGAGTGAGACTTGTCTCAAAAAAGAAAAAAAAACCAAAAAACCAAATAACTCTGTGAAGTAACAGATGCATTCATTAACTGTATTAATCATTTCACAATGTTTACACATACAATATCATTACATTTTACATAATAAATAGTTATATACTTTTAATTTGTGGAAAGTAACCACACGGTCCACACATGTATATGTGTGGGTATATTTGTGTGTATATGTGTACACATCTCAACTAGTACAATTGAAGACACTGGGAAAATAAAGTTTAAATTACCAATTTTAGTTCACACTGAAAATATAAAATGTAGAAATAAAATAATATTAGATTTTCTTATATTTAGGGAGATGCTTAGCATTATAAAAAAATTACTGAATAGGAATTTCTGTAGAATCACATTTGAAAATTCTGTAAGGGGCTGGGCACGGTGGCTCACGCCTGTAATTCTAGCACTTTGGGAGACCGAGGCGGGTGGATCACCTGAGGTCAGGAGTTCTAGACCAACCTGGCCAACATGGTGAAACCCTGTCTCTACTAAAATACGAAGGTAGCTGGGCGTGGTGGTGCACACCTGTAATCCCAGCTACTTGGGTGGCTTAGGTGGGAGAGTCGCTTGAACACAGACGGCAGAGGTTGCAGTGAGCCAAGATGGCGCCATGCACTCCAGCCTGGGTGACACAGTGAACCTCCGTCGCAAAACCAAACAAACAAAAAAATTTATTTAAAAAAAAAAAGAAAGAAACTTCCATAAGAAATCATAAAGCAGAAAACATACCACATCTGTTTATGGTGTTACTGGGATTTTGGAACCAAATATGGTTAACACTAATACTCTCACACATTTCAGACATAATGCAAACAATAACAACAACAAAAACCCAAACCAAACCAAAACAAAACAAAACAAAAACCTTAAAAAAAAAGTTTAAAGGCCGGGCGTGGTGGCTCATGCCCGTAATCCCACCACTTTGGGAGGCCGAGGTGGGTGGATCACCTGAAGTCGGGAGTTCAAGATCAGCCTCAACAACTTGGAGAAACCCCATCTCTACTAAAAACACAAAATTAGCTGGGCCTGGTGGCACATGTAATCCCAGCTACTTGGGAGGCTGAGGCAGGAGAATCACTTGAACCCAGGAGGCGGAGGTCATGGTGAGCCAAGATTGTGCCATTGCACTCCAGCCTGGGAAACAAGAGCGAAAATCTCTCTCTCAAAAGAAAAGAAAAAAATAGTTTAACATAGAGTTCCTCAAAAGTACACATATATTCCTGTGGCCCCTGAGACAATGAAAGGGCAGTCAGATAATAAAGTCTGTTATAAGCCATGAAGAGGACTTTGGCTCTCACTGTAACCTCAAAGGAAGGTTACTTTTTAGAGAATTTAGGAGCATTAGACAGAAGATGCCTCCATGTGAGAGCAAGAAAAAATAACCATGCCCCTCAAAATCATCTCCATTGAAGCAGAGCTTCTCAAATAACTTTTGAAGCCCGTCTTCCCCCTTGGCCTTTGGAGCTTTCACCTGTGGTATGTGTTTCATTCATCCAACCTACCTGAGGGTTTAGCTATGGTCTCACGTCTCTTCACATTCCAGGGCTCCTGTCTTTGCTCCAGACAGCTAATCAGTTCTGGCTTAGAAACAGTCAGACCTGTTTTATTAGAAAAAAGTAATGTGATGCTTGTTGGGATTCTCCAATTACCAAGCTAGTGTTGTGCTCTGTAGAGAAGACAGAATATTATAGATGATTCTAGAAAATTAATAATAAGGCCGGGCGCATTGGCTCACGCCTGTAATCCCAACATTTTGGCAGGCCGAAGCGGGCAGATCATGAGGTCAGGAGATCGAGACCATCCTGGCCAACATGGTGAAAACCCATCTCTATAAAATACAAAAACTAGCAAAGTATGGTGGCACGTGCCTGTAATCCCAGCTACTTGGGAGGTTTAGGGAGGAGAACCGCTTGAAGGAGGCAGAGATTGCAGTGAGCTGAGATCGCGCCACTGCACTCCAGCCTGGCAACAGAGTGAGACTCTATCTCAAAAAAAAAAAAAAAAAAAAAAAAGAAAATTAATAACAAAATAATATTTCTAAACAGAAAGTTTAGAATATTTTATATTTTTGGGTGTTTAGCTTCCCTACCCAATACTACTTAATCAAAAATTGGTGGTAGAAGTTGGATTTTAAGATCTGGTCAATGATATTCTATAAAGGAATTTTTATAATGGAATTCCAAGAATTACCACTAAAGGCTGGGTATGGTAGTTCACACTAGTAATCCCAACACTTTGGGAGGCCAACGAGGGTGGATCACTTGAGGTCAGGAGTTTGAGATCAGCCTGGCCAACATAGTGAAACCTCCTCTTTACTAAAAATACAAAAATTAGCTGGGTGTAGTGGTGGGTACCTGTAGTCCCAGATACTCAGGACGCTAAAACAGGAGAATCACTTGAACCCAGGACATGGAGGTTGCAGTGAGCTGGACTGTACCACTGCACTCAAGCCTGGGCAACAGAGCTAGACTCTGTCTCAAAAAAAAAAATAAAAACAAACAAAAAGAATTACCACTAGAGTGAAAAATGCCCATCACCTCAAGGCAGAAGAAAGTTAATGTAAACATAAAACTTCTTGAAAATTTTCTTCTCTATCCCAACAAATCCCCAAGTTTTCCTTGAAAGCAGAGATCTAAAACTCATTTACACAAAGCAGAAATCCCCACCAAACATTCTACAGAGGAAGAAAGTAAAATCTTTAGTGTGAAATAGGAATTGTGTATTGAAATTCTTCTCACCCAGAGAGACCAGGTTTCTGTAGTTCTCTAGCATCACTTTCCTATACAAATTCTGCTGAGCAGGTTTCAGAAACTCCCACTCCTCCAAAGAGAATTCTATGGTCACATCCCTGAATGTCAACAGCTCCTGAAAAACAAAACAAAACAAAACATAGTGACCAACTGTGAATGGGCAGTTTTTGACTCCATGTGAAAAGAGAATTGCTGTGACTTATATCAGTTACTGGAATTATTCAAACCAGTTAAAAATACTGGTATTTTTAACAAAAATATTCTCTGATGTATTCTCTAACACTGAGGAAAGAAAATAGAATCCACGTGGCCAGGTTCGGTGGCTCACGCCTGTAATCCCATCGTTTTGGGAGGCCGAGGCAGGCAGATCACCTGAGGTCAGGAATTCCAGACCAGCCTGGCCAGCATGGTGAAATGCTGTCTCTACTAGAAATACAAAAATTAGCTGGGTGTGGTGGTGCATGCCTGTAATCCCAGTTACTCAGGAGGCTGAGGGAGGAGAATCGCTTGAACTTGGGAGGCAAAGGTTACAGTGAGCCGAGATCATGACACTGCACTCCTGCCTGGGCTACAAACCAAAAGGAAAATAGAATCCACAAAACCAATGTAGATACTTTTTTAAATAATCAGTATAAAATTAAGGGCATCAACACAGGCATATACAGTTTGAGTTTTATGTCTGCGATTACAGAGTAAGTTGTAAATATTACTCATACAGAGAAGTCACGATGGGTTAGAAGGTATCTGTCAAATTTTGATGTACACAACAACGAACTACAGATCTAGTTAAAATGCAGTCTGATTCAGGTGATCTCAGGTGAACCCTGAGTTTCTGAATTTCTAACAAGCTAGCCAGTGATACCAATGCGTCCGAATCAAGAATATTTTGTCAAACAGAACAAGTGGTTGAGCCCGTTTATCTGACTAGTAAACAAAGATAAGCCTTCATTTTCCAAAGCAAGCTTTAAGCAAAGAGAATCTAAAAAGAAAGGGGGAGTTTGCAGATTAAATGTGATGGTTTATGTACATCAGTCAGTAAATCTCCCAAAGTACTTATGAAAAATAAAGATAAAAATAATTAACTTTATAGTTTAAAAAAACCTGTCACAGACAGCCTTAACTTAGTGATTGAAATTAACATGAACCGGGCTGGGCATGGTGGCTCACGCCTGTAATCCCAGCACTTTGGGAGGCTGAGGTGGGCAGATCACGAGGTCAAGAGATCGAGGCCATCCTGGCTAACACGGTGAAACCCCATCTCTACTAAAAATACAAAAAATTAGCTGGGCATGGTGGCACGCACCTGTAATCCCAGCTACTTGGGAGGCAGAGGCAGGAGAATTGCTTGAACGTGGGAGGCGGAGGTTGCAGTGAGCTGAGATTGCGCCACTGCACTCAAACCTGGGCGACAAAGTGAGACTCCGTCTCAAAAAAAAAAAGAAGAAATTAACATGAACTACAACAGAACAAATTGATGTGCAGTATCAACACACATGGGTGGACACATCATCAGAGCTATGATATTATTGGCAACAAAAAGTAAATTATAACCTTAATCTAAGCATAAAGAACACCTTTATGCAAAGTTCAAGCTACAGATATCTCCCAGGTTTTCTAACCTCTAATAATGTATTTGAATAGTCTTTCCTCAGCATTTTAGAGAGCAAGTCTTATCTAACTATTCTCTTTTCCAGAACCTTCTGAGTTATTCTGGGCAATTAGTGCCATCCCCTTTAAATGTGCATTTTAAAAATCCTGTTTCTGCATAGAGTTGATGGAATATCCAGATGGAACCTAAACAATACACATTCCCCCTTCACTAATATCTGAGGACCCTACATGATCCCTAAAAGAGATCTTAGGTATCTACACCTTTCCACATTGATGAGACACAAAGAGAACTTTATTTATTTATTTATTTATTTTTGAGACAGAGTCACTCTGTCGCCCAGGTTGGAGTCCAGTGAGTGGTGTGATCCCGGCTCACTGCAACCTTGCCTCCTGGGTTCAGGCGATTCTGCCTTAGCCTTACAAGTAGCTGGGACCACAGGCACGTGCCACCACAGCTGGTTAATTTTTTGGATTTTTAGTAGATACAGGGTTTCGCCATGTTACCCCAGCTATTCTCAAACTCCTGGCCTCAAGCGATCCTCCCGCCTCAGCCTCCCAAAGTCCTGGGATTACAGGCATGAGCCTGTAATTCTTATTACAAAGAACATTTTTATTCTTGCAGGTCATACACTTCATGGTGAGAACTGGTCATGGTATGTAAGAAGCCTAGATAGAAAGAATAAAGGAGAAGGCTCCGTTATATAAAACAGAAGAAGCGTCTCACACAACTGCAGCAGGTCAGAGGACAACATCTGGAAATTTTCAAGGACCACACTTTGAAGGGTGGGGCTCTAAGATGTTGATGCTGACCTGCCATGATGCAGAAAATGTTTCCTATGGGCTTTCTGTACATTCTCAATCCGAAGTCAGGCCCTGTCTCATGAGTCCCAGAAGCCAGTGCTTATATGTAGTTTCTAGTGACATCAACCTGGCTGTACATTATCGGGTGTTATAGCATGCTGTGCAAAACCAGAGGAGAGATCCTGTCATGGAGATTCCTTTAACGCATTAGAAATGATATGTCAACCCCCCAAAAAAAAAAATGAGGTCAAATTAATATAAGTAGAGAGTTCATACGTGCCACATTTGAGAACAGCAAGAACAGCAACCTGGAAGCATAGATTCAAGTTGGCTTGAATATACACTTTGAATAGCAGCAGTGAGAAGCGGATTTTTTTTTTTTTTGGAGACAGTCTCACTTTGTCACCCATGCTGGAGTGCAGTGGCATGATCTCGGCTCACTGCAAACTGAATCCTTGGTTCAAGCAATTCTCCTGCCTCAGTCTCCTGAGTGGCTGGGATTACGGGCATGCCCGGCTAATTTTTTTTGTATTTTTAGTAGAGGCGGGGTTTCGCCATGTTGGCCAGGCTGGTCTCGAACTCCTGACCTCAAGTGATCCACCCACCTCAGCCTCCCAAAGTGCTTGGATTACAGGCGTGAGCCACCGTGCCCAGCCAAGAGGTAGATTTTTAAAGGTAAAAAAGGGGAACAGAAAGTGGGCTGATACAAAGTTCTTTATCAAGGATTCTCATTAGTTTACAGGAATAACATTGATTAGTGATTGGCTATATAGGGTTAAGCTAGAAGGTGTGGGCTATAGTGTCCTGTGTGACATTATTAGATTAATTTATAGCTATGTGTGGCAGTAACAAGCAGTTTCAAGAGATGAATACATTGCTCAAAGGAGAAGTAGGACATAATTCTGGATTCATTTTAATGTCTCTCTGGGCCCGATAACTAATAGAACTTGCATCCCTCAGATAAAAGCTCTTTTCCTTTCTCAAATCCCAGGGTCTGGATTCAAATTTGGGGTTTCCGATTTAGGTTTCAGAGGTATGGGAAAGCAGCAGGTGCCCTCTGCACATTCGCAGGCATTTGTGCAGGAGCAGGAAAAGAACATTGTAAATTCTTAGGTCTATTCAATGCATATGTGTAACCCTGACAGGGTTTCTAGGCCCTAATTGTCTCTGAATTCATTTCAGATCTGAAGATGCCAGGGACATTGAAAGAGGTGGAATGGCTGTTGCTGCCCTGTAAAGTTATTTTTGTAGAAATCTGACCTGACTGCTCTACAAGGGACTATAGAACACAAATAGGCAGAGAGACCATTTTGCCTGCAAATTTGGGGTTTGCACAATTATGGGTTGTGACTGGAAGCCCAAGAGGGAAAGACCCTCTAGGGTGAAGTCTGATGGGTACCTTCTATGTTTATATCATACCTGGTCTTTTCAGACAGTGTTTTGAAAATGTAATTAAAAGCACAATCATCTCCAACCCTAGAAAAGCTCTCCACAGTGGCAGAACAGAAAGCAAAAACTGTATGATTACACAATTAAGCCAGAGCGTGACATTAATTGCAGGCAATTTGCTAAGAGATCACAAAGACAGAAAGAACGTTGTCAGAATTAGACCTCAAGAAGAAGACGTGACAGCACTCACTTGTCGTAGTTTATCCTAAATCCACCTGGGAATTGGAGAGGTCAGTTGATTATATTCTATAAAAGATAAACTTCCCACATCTTCATGACAGGAGGTGGTTTTGCAACTTGGAGTGAAATTCAGGTACCTGGTGAAGGTAGGATTTTACTCCTCTATAGAAACTGTGGTGGCAGGTGCGGTGGCTCAATACTGTAATTCCAGCACTTTGGGAGGCCGAGGTGGGCAGATCACCTGAGATCAGGAGTTCGAGACAAGCCTGGCCAACGTGATGAAACCCCATCTCCACTAAAAATACAAAAAATTAGCCAGACATTGTGGCAGGCGCCTGTAGTCCCACCTACTTGGGAGGCTGAGGCAGGACAATCGCTTGAACCTGGGAGGTGGAGGTTGCGGTGAGCCGAGATCACGCCATTGCACTCCGGCCTGGGTGACAGAGGGAGACTCCGTCTCAAAAAAAGAAAAAAGAAACTGTGGAAGAGGGATCTATGTTCTTGGCTATTTATATATTAAATCAATGGTTCCTGACTCAGAGTGCTGGGCCATGGTGCTCCTGCCCGTGAAGCTTAGGCTACAGCCTGCAGCCCACACACACCCTCACTGCTACATCTGCGCTCCAGCACCATGCCACAGAGCAGAGCCCTGGGCTGCAGGAGGAGGCACTCCTGGTTAGAATTATATTTTCACAATAATGGAAATGAAAGTGGTGTTCCAGCCTAAGTTTCTGGTTTTTTTTTTTTTTTTTTTGAGACAGAGTCTCGCTCTGTTGCCCAGGCTAAAGTGCAGTGACGCGATCTCGGCTCACTACAACCTCCACCTGCCGGGTTCAAGCGATTCTCCTCCCTCAGCCCCTCGAGTAGCTGGGACTACAGGTGCCCGCCACCACGCCTGGCTAATTATTTGTATTTTTAGTAGAGACAGGGTTTTGTCATGTTGGTCAGACTAGTTTCAAACTCCTGACCTCAAGTGATCCTCCTGCCTTGGCCTCCCAAAGTGCTGGGATTACAGGCATGAGCCACCACGCCCAGCCTCCAGCTTCAGTTTCTACTGATAACGATGACATGGAA